AAGTGGGCGAAGAAGTGCTCCACCCTCATCCTCACTACTTCACCCTCAGTTATGCACGTTTATCCTTTTACACTTTAACACTTTAACATATAAGAATCCGCGGCGACGGCGATTTCCGGATGATGCCGAAATTTTTAAAGATATCCTACAGGATATCTTTAAAAATTACTCTTGTATTCGATATTATAACTGCTTTAAAATCACCCACAATTTTCTAGGTCGATTTTCTGTGCAGTGAAAAATAAATTTTTTTATAGTACAGCTCAGAGAAAATGTTGCAGGAGGCGTTATTTTTGTCCATTAATGTAACGGTAATTTTTCCTCTATCGGATGTGGTATAAACTAGAATTAAAATACTTTTTAAAACAACCATTTCGAAAGACAGCATGCATGGCTTTTCATATCGATGCGAAACTAAACGATAGATAATAATCTGCCCATGGGGAAATTTTATCGACTTTTCGCGTGTGGGGCACCGTGAAATGTCAGCTTGAACTTTCACAAAATTTTGTAGATAGCCGGTTTCATGACGTTGTGATCGTGTTGTTGCAACATTACACGCATGTCCACTAGTGGAAAAATCGAGACCAGCAAGGTATACTTTGCTCTTATACTATATATAGTGCGCCCGTGTACACAATTGAACAATCTTCACGCGTGTTCACACGTGAAATAATCGTGGCTTTCGCAGTATATATTTTCTGAAACTTAGAATCGAATTAAGTCACTTTGAATTGCAAATGCGTAAGGTTATCATGGAGCCAACTTGACTTCGGAGACTGCAGAATAAATTTTGTACTTATGCTTGCCGATGAATTTACACCATATTTCACGCGTAGACCTTTGTGAGAATTCTGCTTAAAAAATTCTGAGATTTTCCATTTATAGGTAGAAAATCACACAGGTGAGAAATTTTAATATACTATAGTATATTAAAATTCCCAGGAATTTTTGGAAGGCATACGTGCTGGATTAGTTTATAAACTAATGTAACCACTGTCACTTGCGGTTATATTTGCGAAATGGATTACGTGAAAAACTGACGTATGAATAAACGTTAAAATATTTTTCACAATGAAATCATCGCGAAACATCTTCACGCGTGTCCGCAAGTGTTTCTACCGAAATGTTAACGTGAGAAATTCACATGTGGCCACTACAGACTTCACAACTTTCACCTGCGACCACGTGCGGAAAATATGACGTGAAAGTTTTTGTGAAGAATTCATGCATTGTCACAAGTGGAATATATTCTTCACGTGTGCTCACACACTATTTTACGACTTTCACGTACGACTACAGTTCATTTCGCGATACTCACGCATGTACATGCCGTTTCATATACTAAAATTTCCCCATAGGTAAGCCATAGGTGAAAAAGTAGGTATTTTACAATTGGAGCTACTGAGACTTGTGTTTCGGCCGCTTTTCTTCAAGAGATAGATAAGAATTGCGACACTCAGGCTTTCAAAGGACGATGTAGCGGCTTTTCCGGAATGAAGTCTCTTTCGAAGATCGACTGTGACGCTGATAAAGAAGATTAGTATTAGCGAAAATAGAACTGATGTAGAACGGAACACTCTACACAAGTTAATTCGGCGAAAATCTTGCACACTAGGTTATCGAACAGAAGCCTACCGGTTTGAGTTCGCTAGAGAGTCCTGCTTCTGGGAAAGAGTATCTCACATTTGAGTTCAAAAACTGAATTCTTGCTAAAAAGAGCCTTGATTTCGGCTCTTCAAAATCTTGATCTTTTTAGAAAACATAAGCAGAAAAGAAATTAATTCGCATCAATTTAAATCTTTGAATAAATATAAAAAAACATCATAAAATTTAATTCAAATTAACTCTAATTAATTGAAATTGATGCTAGAACTTTCTAAATAAAACACTAAAAAGGCAGCTAAGTCAGGTATTAGGAAACGATTTCTAACTCTTGCGGCACATTTTGCTGCAGACTGAGATTTCGGCATTCACCCTCTGATAATAAGGAATTTCTAAGAGTTAATACTCTACATTCTACATACTTTGTCGTATACGAATTGGTGAAGAGCACAAATGCCCCAAATGTGGCTCAGAAATGAGAGACGGGAAACGTCAGAAAACTCTCAGGAATGATAAGTGATTCTTTCGCTTTCTAGCTATCATAATCGACATTGATTTATTTTACTTCTAGGTACCGTATCAACATACAATGCTATGCTATGCAAAAATAAAAGCTGTACACCAGGGCAGGAAACGGGCCGGGCCGGAATTTTGCTGGCGAGCGGCCGCGGTCCAGGCTATTCTCGGGCTCGGTCGGGCCTGGCTGAGGCGGCTCACGGGCCGGTTGGACCAATTTAAATAGTCGGGCTCCCGGCCCGACTCTGTTTTATTATTATTTTATTTTTTTGTGAAAAATCGTCCTTCGTTAAAGTTTATGTTGATATAGGCCATAAGAATGAATTTCGCTATAAAGAGTCGAAAAAGTTCAAACAAAAAAGGGTTTCACCAAACTTTCACGATCACCAGAGCATATAGCCTAGACTATACGGGTAAAAGGAAATCAAATCAAAACACGCGTCTCAGAAGTTGTTTTTTTCATATGAAGCAATGCTGAAAAAATCCGATGAAAAAATGTGGTGTAAAATCCCAACAAAAGTTATGCATTTTAATAAGAAAGACACATTCTTTTTGCAGCTTCAAGATATATTCGGATCCGTAGAAAAATTTCTCTCGTTCGATCTTTTAAGAAAAATAATTCTTCTCTTTCTTTCTCCTTCTTGACGCTGCAAAAGAACGTTTCTTGTTTTGTTGAAATGGTGCACAGTAACCATAAGCAAATTTTGTTTAAGTTTTTGTGCTATTACACATATAAGCGCAAGGTGTAGAAGGTATAGGCAATTAATGTTAATATGTAACACGACTTAAAAGTTCGACATGCATCGTAAGCCTTTGCCGTCGGGTAAATAACAATCCAATCAGATTACTTGACTCTATGCAATTCATTTAATGTTGATCATAAATATTGCTCTAACGAGGGAACCTCCCGAGATGATAAATCTACAACGGCACGCTACAATCATGCCTTGTTATGAAATATTTTGGTTACTTTTTAGAGTTTCTGAAAAATTTGGTTCTCCAGAAGACCGGATCTTCGAAGGACTGTGAGGAACTACCGTGGTGATATTCGGCATTAGCATGGTCAATAACCTATAATCCACCAAATTTCGATCAAAAAGCGATTTATCACCTCGGGAGGTTCCCTCGTAAGTGAGAAGCGAATGGCTTAGATGTCATTTTATATTACGTCATGTCACTTTCGATAATTCATCATGAGGAATAGGAATTTTTTGAGACGGTTGGCTTCATCCACCTAAATTGTGATCTGTATACAACATCAAATGCAAGTAATAGTAGGCGAGATTATCCGATACTTTCATGTCTAAACTTGTATCCAACCTGACACGAATGATATCACACCTGCACTCGACCTAGCCTCTTCATACCCGGGTCGTAGGATTCTTCCCGCGAGTCGTCTACGGATACGGGTCAAGTTGCAGGACTCTACCCCAAGTGTAACCATTGGTTCTTATGGCGCCAATGAGACCGTTGCTATAGGCCATAAGAATGAATTTCGCTATAAAGAAAAGTGTCACATAGGTAATTGGCAAACTTATCTAGTTTTTCGGGTACAATTTAAAGCTATCTCTGCATTCGAACTGTCAGAGGCTAGGTAACAAAACTAGGGTTCGTTCTTGTTATTTTTTCCTTTTGTTATGAAATCATATGTTTTTTGGATTAACCGACGTTTGAGCGACCGACAATTGAGCTCCGATGTTTGAGCGACCCCGACACCCTACTGCAATCCAACAATAGGATGCTATAGCATCTTGCAAGATTCTGCAAGATCTGACTACAGGATCGTATAAGAATCTTACAGTGGGATTTTGCAGGACATTTTTTCTTTGAGGTTTTCTTACAAAGTCCTACAAGATTTTTGTAGGATCTTTCAGGATCCTATAGGATCCTGGTGTAGGATCTTGTAAGAGTCTTCTAGGATCCTACGGTAGGATTGTCTGACGTAGCTGAGCGCTGCTTGCAGTACGAGGCCTTTACTTTTTCTCATCCGAGCGTAACATAAAGCGATTGAAGTATCCACTGGATCTTTTCTTCTTTCAATAAATGGCATTTTTTTCGCATACAGATAAAGAAGGAGTGAAAAAATCGGAACTTTTTTCTTTTATCGTAAATGTGACTCATGAAGCAAATTTTAAAGTTTTATTAAGAAAGTTCATATTCGTATAGTTCCTAATTATGTTCAACCCTTCTCGATGAAGCTTCAGTTACAGCTTACACTTGTTTATGTTTCAATGAAAACCGAGATAAAAACTCGAAGAGCTGAATTCAATGTCGAATTTCTAAAAAATATTTTTTGATATTAATAGATTTACTCTTACAACATGTCAATCATAATATGATATGCTTTTCGTCATTTAATGAATGATACTAATTGTCATAGTCAATTCGAACATCCATGGTGTACAGATGTTTTCCTTCGAAATGAAGCTAAAACCATTTTTCTATTTGAGTGTTCAACGCTAAATAAGAAAAACATAGTTTGAAAATTCCCCATCGTGAAACAAAATGAAAATTCAAAGTTTTTCACACAGAAAGGATTTTTCGACATGAAAAACTAGTTTTGAAAAATTAAAATTTATATATTCTGAAAAAGCGTAAAATCTCTATCGAATGACGTATAAGAAAGCTGACAACAAGATTTTACTGGAAGTCGAATTGCCGGCACCTTATACTTTGTTATTTATAATAACTAACTGAATCAGAAAATCTTTAACTCCGAGAGAATCTTTCATTGCACATTTTAATTTCTAGATTGTTCTTTTATTGAATCAAAAGAATTTCTTCAATTTTATGCTTGAATCAAAATTCTTTGGAAGTAGATTTTCGAGATCCTGATCATGATCCTCGTAGCGTACCAGGTAATACTCCAACGTATTTAAGGACAGTTCAAGGCTTTTATAAAGAAATATTGGATTATCCTCACAAATATAATCACAGTAGTCCACAACAATCAATACGTCAAATTCTAGTACGATTTGGTGGAACCTCTACATTAGCTGAATTATATGATAACGAACATCATTTAAATACTAATGAAGTATCAATTAAAGTATATACATTTCACTCATGTGTATACCGAGAGTTAAATAATGTTTTAAGAAGTGGTAATGAAGAAGTTTTATTATTATTTGCTCCTTATATTTATAACTTATTAGGAGGTTTACAAGAACATAAAAGACATTATCATGGTATCGTTTATCGTGGCATGGAATTAGAATCTACATGTATATTGTCATATAAAAAGGGTTTATTATTTTATTGGCCAGGTTTTACATATTGTATTAAAGATTTTCAAATAGCAACTAAATGGTGTGGATGTACTGCTGTCTTTATTATTAATGTACCACAAAAATTTTCCCACGCATGTTCCAATATAGAAGATATATCTAGGTATAGACTAGAAAAAGAAGTACTATTACAACCATATACATGCTTTCGTGTTATAAATGATCCAATTCAACATACATACAATGGGAAGAATATAACAAAAATAGAAATAGTGATTGA